CCAGCAGTGGCTGCGCGAAATCTCCCCAGGACAGCGGGAGCGCAGCTTCGGAGAAGGAGACGCTTGGTCGTTATCTTAAAATCCACAACAGCGGGTCCAGGCGCTCCCCACCTGCACGTTTGCTAAGGACAAATCTTTGTACGAGGGAAGCTGTGCAAAATAAACACCTTAATGAACGTTTCCTGTCGCGTAGGTAGAGCAGTTGCGTCGCTACTGCGTGACTGACCAGCAGAGCAGCGGCTGAAAGCAAGCTGAGCCTGCAGCGCTGCTTGTCTGCGTTGGCCAGCAGACAGGCACGCAGAGAACATCTTTTCACTTGAAGTGAAAAGAGGGACAGTAAGCAGGACTTGGAATGAGGAGCGAGGGGCATTGACGCTGTTTTGCACTTGTTCAGGTGTAGACTAAAGCTGGAGCTGCGCTCGGTCACTCACACACAACATTCGCATCAGTGCAGTACCTTTCCCTGATGGCTACTTTCCACTCCAGCCTCCCTCACTCCATCTCCTCTACGTCCTCCACAGCCACCTGGTCTGATCAGGCAGAAACACATAGCACAGGGAGAACACGAGGACCACCTAGACTTCTCAGGCCTGTGCTCTGTCCCTGGGCTTTACTCCAAAACAATGACAAAAGCATCAAACGTGTCTGGATTTATTTATTTTGTTAAAAGGCTTGGCTGTTCAACTGCAGGGAGAACGGCCCAGTACCAATTTCTCCAATACATTGGGCAGACCAGAGACAGAACACAACACCCACCAAGGCTTCTCTGTCAGCACAAATGGTTTCAGCATCCCCCTGAAGAGAATGAAGGAAAGGTAGACACAATGGCCAGCCCATGCCAGGATTTGGAGAGAAGTCTAAAACAAACGCACGCACCGGTGTCTTTTCTTCATCATTACGGAAGGAGTCACTGCACCTTCACCTGGAATGAGAGTATTCCCTCACGCTCCCTTCTGTGTCCAGCTGACCGTGTGAATGCCGCCACAGGTCTGCTTTTGTTGGAGGATGGGAAGACAAAGCTACCGTAAGGTTAAATCCAGTGATGTTTCCTCTGTTATCAGACTTTTTGCCTCTCCCCTCTCCTATTGCAAGTCTTGGTCATTGATTTGGTAACCCAAAAAAGCAATCTGTTAAAACTTAATTTAAAGAAAAATAAAAATGGTGCAAACACACCTGTTTCCCCCCTGCAGATAGCCTATACCATTTTCGTGCATCAGAGATCAACCTGGTCACAGAAAAAGAATCTGAAGTTGGCAGGACTAGCCAACCTGTAAGACAGGCAACCGCACCCCTGGTTTTCTGAATGTCAAGTCAATGAAAAGCAAGGGGCCACCTATGGCAGGCTGCCAAGGTTCAGTTTCTCCGCTGCGGGTTGGCAGGATGTATATAAACCACAGTGTTGAAACAAGTTGTACCATGGGGCAGTACTGAAAGGTAAATACCTGCCTCTGTCCTCTACCTTATTGTTTGAGCGGCAGCCTAGAGTCATCAGTCCTCATCTGAGCTATCCTCTGATTTTTCATCAGCAGCCACTTTCCAGTTCTTCCTCTTGTTCCTCTTCTCTGGTACTTCACTGTGCCTCTCTGACACAGAATTGTGACGTTTCTTTCTCTTTTTTTGGGGCCGTTTCTCTTTTTTCTCCTCAGATTCACTGTCCTCAGAGCTGCTGGTGGTTGAGCTGCTTGCATGAGAAAAGTCACTTTCCTGCCCAGAAGAAGTGGTAGGTTCCCTGGCAGGCACTTTCCTGGTCTTTTTCTTGCGCTTGTGTTTCCCCTTCCGGGTGCTTGAAGTCTCCTCTTCTGAGCACTCACTCTCCCAGGAAGAATCTGATGATGTTCTCCCCTGCTCCTTTTTCTTTTTCTTTCGCTTTTTGTGTGATCGCTTTTTTTGCTTATTCTTGTGTGATTTCTTTGTTTTTTTCCGTTTGTGTGACTCACGGGCAGTTTGCTTTCCCAGATGAGATTTTTTCTTCCCATTGATAGCATTTTGTTCATCTCCTTCTTGCTGGTCACTGTAAAAAGAACAAAGGATGACCAAAAGGAAGCAGACGGGCAGGCACACAGCAGTTGAGCCTTTTCTGTCTCAAAGTTTTAAGCAAGCCCATCAATTAATTTGGCTAGGGTAGGGAAGCTGATGCTTTGACAGATTTGGTAGCTGCATTTTTGTTTCAAGTGCTTGTTAGCAGCTTGGGTCCACACCTTACTAATAGCCCTGTTTAAGATATTTGAGCAAGAATCAAGGAGAATGTGTACTGAAAGCCACTGAGTGATGAAAACTCATTTATAGCAGGTTACTTCAAACCTGTAAGCCTGACAAATATTGTATTTGGTGATTCTGTTGGGTGTAGTTTAAAAATAATTAATTCTGTGTAAGATCTTATTTTACAGGTAAGTCTCCACTCTCCAGGATACTGCAAGAATTTATATTCTCCAAATGAGGAGAAACACAGAAAATACAGGTACACTATAATGGAAAGGAGAACCTGGAGCTGGTATTTGAGAGGGTATATACTGAGCTGTTTGGATTCAGCCTGTTGATCTGGCTCTCTGTTGGCCCAGACAGACCTTCCAGATTCATAGCATTTTAGTAACTCAGGCTAAAGCTGAATGTCTAATTACTATGAAAGATGCAATCCCCTCCTAAGACTCAGACAAGGGGGAACCACATTAATGGACTAGATTTTTTTAAGTGGGTGTCTGTAACTGAACAGTGCGGCTGATCTATATTCAAGGCTGATCTATATTCAAAACTTAAAACTCAGTTTGTAAAATTTCCTGCATAACCTGACAGAAGTAAGATACTAGATACATTAGTAAGCCTGCTTGCCTTACCTATCTGTATCAAATTCTTCAGGGTACAACTCTTTATAGCCACTGTGACCCCACCTGTAAGAAAGCAGAACCATCTATTAGAAACAGACAAGGTATCGAAGGAAAAAATATAATTCTGAAAAGACAGAGCCACAGAATGAACATGAGTTTAGATAGCAAAGAAGGGCTATCAGAACCTTCCCAACAAAGAAGGAAGGAAATATGACTGATTTGGTTGGTACTACTTTAATACACCTTATGTTCTCAGCCTCTTTTCCGTTTCTAATTAGGGAACACTACAACTCAAATTTCTTTAAAATAACCCTGGAGAGCACTGACTTGCATTTCTCGAGATTTTTTAAGTTCCTTAGGCAAAGAAACAAATACTAAGCTTAGTTGCTAAGCTTAGGGCTGAGCTTTTGCTGCTTACTGTGACTTAGGAACTCTATAGATGAACTCAAATTAGGTATTCTGTGACACTGCAAAAGTTCACACATGTTACTTATTCATTCTCAAAACGAGATCAAGCATTATTTTATAGGAGTATGTACCGAAAAGAGAAATGTACTAACTTTTTGGTACAGGACTCCAGAAAGGTGTTTTAATTACAGTTATAATCGCAGAACATTAATTCCCCCACAGACCTGTCTGGCATGTTGGCTTCACATTCATAGAGCTTTTTATTCCAGGATCGGGCCCTAAGGAAATCGTCTTCAACTGGGTCAAGAAATTGTGAGTTCTTTGTTTTCCAGCCAGCCCTGTGGCCCTCGTCATCAAAGCCATCACTGCGCATCCGACTGCTGCAGAAAGAGAACAGTTGTCCTTCAGCTGTCAGCTCTGATGGAGAAACTTTCTGAGCAAGGGGTTAGTCCAGCGAGAGGAGCAAAAATCCAGCAAGTCTTGGATGTCCATCTACGCAAGAAGACCAGCTATCATTTTAACAGACAGTCACCATTCACAGCGCTCACAAAACCAGTTCAGCAGCTAACACTGGTTTTCAAAACTTACTACGGCCCTCTGTGCACAGCAAAATTCTTGACGGAGATGCTCACAATGCAAAATTAGAGGAAGGAGTTATCTTGCCTATCACAACAAATGCAGTTCTCTTCCTCTGGAATACTCTGCAGGAGCAGACTAACAATATGCACTGAGACATAGGCTAGCAAAAGCAGCAAAGGGGAAACTGAAGTAGGACTGACTTACTAGAATTGCAATTTGATCAGGTACCAGGACTAAGACCCCAAATCCACAGAAAGCACCAACAGTTTTGACTGATCTCACATGCCTGTAGCTCTAGTTTTGTTTCTCATTTGAAATGCCACACTTCCTGAGCCAAGCAGCAGCTGTGGACTTAGCATCAGTCTGAAAGGTGTTCTCTCCTCAGATACTAAAACCACTTCCTGCAAGATTCATGCTTCTGAAAAGTCTTCACGGTAGTAAGCCCTCCCCGGCCCCTGCAAAACCCCAACCCTCCCCCCCAAAACCCAGCTTGTTTTCATGTAGCTTGTGAGATCCTCAGGCATGTCGGAATGATTTAACAGATACCACACAAGCAGCGGTCAATACTGGTGTGTTATAATAGCGCAGGACTCCACACCACAACATTTTTTTTTTTACCGCTAACCTAAATGGCAATACCTCACAACATTCTGACATGTTACTTCAGCACTTCCTACCCCCATTGCTTCAGAGAGCCTGGCCTACTTAACGTTGTATTTTGAAGACTACACATCTAGACGAAGAGATGAAAAGCCATACTTAAGCGCAGGTCTGACCTTTTTCCAGGAACTCATTAAGGAGAAAATAAATGTATCTGTAGTCTATGTAGTCTTCATATATTATAAACACATAGTCACCACAGAATGCTCTTAAAGTGTTGTAACACAAAAGGGTTCAGCAACTAAGTCAAGACAATTACCTCCTCCACGCAACTAAAACCCACCTGGAGGTGTCCGACAGCATTCTGCTTTGCCTTTTCCAGTAAGTCTCTTCTGTCTGCTTCTCCCACTCCCTTATTTTCCACATTTCTGTCTCTTCCTGAATCTGAAAGTCACAGAAAGGAAACAAGCGTAACATTAGGGAAACTTTACAGACATGGAGCATGTAACATCAGCTCCTAGCTCAATGCTCCTGCTAACAAAATTCACAGCAAGCTTTCCTACCATACTGAAACAGATTATTATTTCTAGCTATAACCAAGGTAACCAAAAGGAGAATCTGTTGACGGCAATACCCTAATAAAGCACATAAGGATAATGGCATCAGAAATGGTGGGTTTGCCTGACTTTTCTATCTCAGGTGTTCTGGCTACCCTGCCTTGTCATTCATTACCATCCCAAACATATGTACTGTTAGAGAGTTCAGTATATAAATATCATCTGGAAGGACCAAGCCAAAATGAGGAGTTACACTACAGGCTGAAAAAACACAGCATGCAAATACTGACTGGTTTGGCACAGATTTATGTTGATGGACACTGACTGTAAATGAATAGTTTGATAAACATATAAAATAATTGAGTTGGACCTGCTGAGTTATGCCAGGAATTAATTAAGCAGTTTGCTAAAGTTAGCAGAGCTTCTTAATCTTGTACCAAAATACTGCCTGTGCACGTTAACACAAAGTTCAAATTCTTTGATGCAATTAAAAGTACATACACAGTACAGCAAGAAAAAAAAAAAAACAAAACCAAAACAATTAAAGGTTTGCTACTTTCAAAAAGGCAAGTTGTAATTTTCGTGAAAGTCCTGAGAGAGCAGGTTTTTCATAGGGCAAATTTTATAGTTAAATATATACACACATTCCCTCGGCCAGGATGAAACTCAAGAAAAACACGGTTAAACTGAAAGCGAGACTAAGGATGTTTACGCAGCCGATTTCGACAAGCGCCTTTCCTCTCCGAAAAACGCACCTGCCCTCCCCACCGCCAGGTCCCCGCTCCGCCGGCGGCCCCACACCCCCGGGAGGTACCGGCGGTCCCGGGCCCCGCGTACGCCGCACGGCAACGCCCAGGCCGCTCCGCTCGGACAAAAGCCGCCTGCAGGAGCGGGCCCGGGGCGCAGCCAGGCCTAGGAGCCGCCGCAGAGGGCGGACC